TTCCCTTCTTCCCAGCATCCCGCCTACAGAAGGTGCCTCCTGCACTGACACTAGGTCTAGGTTTATGCCTTTTTATCTCCTAGAAATCCAGTGTAAACAGGACACAAGTGGAGACTTGGGAAGTGCATGCAGTTCTTTATTTGCTCCTCTGCTAGGAACCCTGCAAGTGTCCCATGATAAAACAAACTGCAGTCATGAGGGAGTTGCCAAGACCTTGTCTTTACAGAATTGATATTAGAGGTTTCAGATGACTCTTCTGACCTTGTCTTGTTCTCTGCCATTCTCTTTCATTTTCCCTACGTTCTCCTCCTCAAATAGTCTGTGCATTGCCCGGCTTTCATCTTTAATCCAGAATAACCATACTGGTGAGAAGGCAATCTGTGCATCCTGGTAGTATTACATGTTGTTACAATTGAATCTTAATTAACTTAGTGGACTTCTTTCTCTGGAATGTGACCTATACACAGAGTCTCCAGAGACTAAACTGATGCTTTCCCTTTTCTGGCTGCAGCATTATAGGATCCTTACCCTATTGGCTAATTTGACCCATTTTCATGATGAAAGAAGGCTGCTGGGAGGGTCTGTAATGGAGACGGACAACCTTCCCCACATAGATAAGGTGCTAAAAATGTCCTTCCCCTGGATGGTCTATCTGGAGAAGTTTCTCTGTGTGTTTCTCAGAGTTTAGGTGTCTCGATGACTTTGCTATGAAATAATCTATCTCAATTCTCACCCAAAGAACTTGGAGGTTCCTGGAGCAAAAAAAACACAAAAGTGTGGAGTGTGGGGTCTCCAGGATTTCACACCCTCACACTAGGTCAGACCAGCCCTCTGTGTTTATGCAGTTCAGATTTATATACAACAAACCACACAGCTAGGCTCAGCTAAATTGTCACATGCTCATTTAAACACACCGGGGCAGCAGCTGAGTGTAATAATCACATTGAACCCAGAGAAACCTGGGTCCAATCCACTGTTTATTGTAGCTCAGAGCAGCATCACTGATTCACCTGAGCAGACATTTATTCCTTGAAACAGCTTCACTACCAAGTATCCTAAAGGGTTACTATAAAGCTGCTGTGGGGCTGGACTTCTTCCTATCAGCCTGTCATGGAGGGTGTTTAGAATAATGTAGACCTTTATACTTAGGTGCTAATCATTCCCAGAGTTGTTGGAATGGCTGGCAGCCCCAATCCTGTTTCTCCCCTCCACTCACCTGAATGTCTTCAAGAACCACATGAACCTTAGGACTCCTTTTTTCATGGATGACTCTGAGGATTGTCAATCTGCTTTGTGCCACAATCAGAGGCAGCTAATGGAGGATTCTCAGTCCACTAATAGGTTGAGCCCATAACAGAGGACACATATCCTAGAGTGGCCAATTCATGTCCATGCCAATCAACATCTAATTGAAGGGGAAGGATTTTCAGTGCATTTGAGTGTAACATCTTCATAATTCTTGTTAATAGAGCTACAACCTGAATCATGTGCAGAAGAGGTGAGCTCATGGTTAGAAGAAAGCTGCCTCCCCCAGGCAAGTCAGTCTCTTTAACTAAAGCACCTAAAACGTGATGTCCTGAGACCTCATGAAAATTCATTTCCTGTAGTAGAGAAACAGGAAAGGCATTCTCAAAGCATTGGAAGAAAACTCATCAGAAATTCTATCAACACAGCAGTCAAATTCCAGTAAATCAATCCTTGGGTTTATGTTTTACAACTCAAGAAGCGATAAAGAAATCTATGTAATTGGAAGACTACTCCAACAGAGGAAATTTTGTCCTATTTAAGTAATAGACCAGTATTCACTCACACTCTCCTTTGAGAGTTCCAACTTAAGCAGATCTCTGTAACTTGTAAAAGTTTTCTCAAAACATTATTTTTCTCTAGACATCCATAAATGAACAAACACATCTTGAATATTTGTACGAGTGATCTATAGAAGTCCTTGACATATTAATGAAAGTTTGTGAAAACATGGTAACTTCATAACTTACTATGAGTTCCCACTTCACTGGTTTGAAAGATTCTCACCCGTGTGGTGGGGCAATGGGTGTCTCCGAGAATACGTTGATTTAAACTGAACATGTTCTCCACACCTCACTTGACTTCATGGTTCCTCACTCATGTAGATGTGTCTGAGACTGAAAACCCCACACTGATATTCAGCGCATTTTACTCTTATAGATTTATATTCTCTCTGTCTCTTTCTCATCATGTCTCTGTATCTCTATTTTCCTCTGTCATTACTATTTATTACTGAATCATCCTGAATCCTGCCGACAGCCTCCATCTCACATTCTGACAATCTTCTCCCTCAAAGATAATTAGAGGCAAACTTATCCTTGCCCAATGTGGAAAAGTTTCGGGACTTTGACTAGAGTTATTAGAGCCTCATACGAAGAACCATAATCAAACATTATTTGTTTTTAGATTATACCTCAAAACTAAAACTGCTCCTCACAGTGGCTATGACATTCCATATTCCCACCATTATGCAAAACAGTAAAGTGGCTTCTTAATAAATTAAAACAGAAATACCATATGATCAGCAATCCAGCTTAAGAAAATATACTCAAAGGAGATGAAATTACCGCCTTGTGAAGATACCTGCCTTTCTAGGCTTATTGCAACACTATTCACAACAGCCAAGATACAGAAACTATCTGTCAATAGACAAATGGATAAAGACAATGTGGTACATGTACACAACATTATTCTGCCTTATAAAATAAGGAGATGCTGCCATTTTTTGTCTTGTCCACAAGACAAGTGGATTCCCACAACCACTACCAATGTGTTCTATCCATTGAGCCCATCCCTGAGAGCTGGCAGATCCAAGTCCAATAGTAAGAACTGGTTGTGATGGAGCGGCCAGATGCAGTGCAGATGAGGCAGAGGGACAGTGCGGGCTCTTCAGGTCCAGGGCTGACTGCTGCAGCTGCTCCTGGGACAGGGCATGTGAGTACATGGATGATCCATGCCTGTCTGTCACAAGTGCCTGCGTTCACCCCACAGACCACTGTCTGACATCCAAGACACACCCTGGGGAGCTCTCACCAGGCACAGGGGAAGATACAATAATGCCATCTTCTTCATGAACACAACTCTGCGTTCTTCAGATACCTTGGCTTTGCCTGAGGGGAGAGCTGTTAGCTTCCACATTCCAGAAGCATTTTATATCCTGGAGCCTGAATATAATTGGCATGTGGCAAAGCCTTGTACTTATAAGAGACAGAGAGAAAGCTATCAGACTCCCTGTGGATTTGAATATGTTTTATTGTTGTCTGTTTGTTTTCAGGTTGACATGAAGCACTTCTTTGTCAAAAAGTACAGCCATGACAGTACATAAAATTTGCTTTGTTCCTGTTTTCCTAACTGTGACATTTGAACTGTATCAAGTGAGCAATGTGCATACTTTACAGGAGCAATTACAAAACAACTATTTAAATCATCAGTAGTGCACAAATGCTACTCTGCCCTTACTGCCAAAAATCTTCTGAATAGATTTCAGTAAAAGTAAATCACAAATTGCATTCTTAATTTAAAAGTAGCATACTGTTCAGAAACTCAGAAACTCCCTTTGCCAAAGGTACTCCCACTAGAACTTACCACCCATGGTCTGCTTCCTCAAGGCATGAACATTATCACCCTGTCACTTGATTCATCAAAAGCTCATGTATTTTCCATTTTACTGTCAATATTTTACTCTGATTCATCACATGCCAATACAGCAAGGTATTTCAGGGGATTGATGTTCTATGCAGAAACATTCCACGTGGTGTTAAAGATGCCTTCCCATCACATCTTCCTAACTGGCTTCTTTATTGGCATCAACTTGGAAATTCTTTATATTAGAAGAGATATCAGAGAAAAACGGCCTCAAATATTGTAAAAGAGGCTTAACAACACAACAACACACACAGCAGTGACTCCAGGTTGTCAATCCATAGGACTAAGAAATGCAAATGAAGTGGGTTACATAAGTTGTTTTCAGAAGATTATCCTGTGCTTGTAGAATCAGTACCAAGGGAGGCATCAGTGTAGGGTTAAATGGGGAGTTGCTGGGAAGATTTCCTTGTGGAAGAGATTTTTGTAAGGTTGTGGTGGCTTCTATCCAAGGCTGTGGTTAAGCAGCATCCATTTATGATAGTTTTCGTTATCAGGAGTGTGTGCCTGAGAACCCTCCTGCATGTCGCTCCTAGTTCCATTTGTCAGGGTGTTAACACAAGTGGCTCCATTTTGATTCTGACAACGTTCACACTCTCCTTCTAACACTACTGGTGAGGAACGTGACTCTGTGATAGTTTGCACAGCATGGGATAAATTTCACATCCACATCCCATTCTGACCAAACAAGCTCATTCCCTTCACTACTATTGGCCACTTGCATTCCCAGGTGAGTCTCCAGACAACACACTGGAGGGTGCTGAACAATGGGAGAGAAGAAAGTATTGTCAGTCGCTCCCACGTGGCTGCAGGAGTCACAGCATGAGCCCCACCTGAGCTGCAGGGAAAGGGCTGGAGGCCTGGAGCTTTAGCAGCAAGAACCACATCCCCACTTTAGAGGGAGCAGGAAGAGTACCAGGAAAAGCAAGAACAACAACAACAAATAAAAAGAAATAGAATGGGCAATTCGCAAAAGGGGCCCTGGTTCAGTGCTGATGCTGATTTGCCTCCTTTAGTGTCAGGAGAAGGGTCAGACATGAAGCATGTGAGATTGTAAATGACACTGGTCCTGGCCCAGCCTCACTGTTGGTTGGGATCAAAATTCCTAAAGACTGTTCTAGTCAGGAAATCTCACAGAGGTTTCTGTCCTGAGTCTGATTGGAGAAGACTCACCAGGAACTCCTGAGTTTCCTCAAGACGCTGATCCTGGTGACCATGGTTGAGGACTTCTCATTTCTAAGCATCAGTCTGCATTTTGTGCAGATGACAATAGGTTCTCAAATTAAAATAATCATTTTTAAATATGTAGAGATGACATTGGTAAGCACAGAATTCTAAACTTGGTGAGGATCCCTAGAGAAACTGTAAAATGATGAAGTCCCACATCCTGACAGGAAATCAGCCTCCGTGTGCACCTGCCTCTGGGGTTGACTTTGATCAGTGGCTCCTGAGCGCCCCCTGCAGCTGATTTCCCTGCAACGTTTCTGCAGGGAGGCTTGTGTCTGGGCTCACACTGAATTCACATCACTGTGTCTCGCACAGTAATACACAGCCGTGTCCTCCAGTCTCAGGCTGTTCATTTGAAGATACACAGAATTCTTGGCATTTTCTCTGGAGATGGTGAATCGGCCCTTCACAGAGTCTTCCTGGTATGTGACACCATTAGAATTAATAGCTGAGACGCACTCCAGACCCTTCCCTGGAGCCTGGCGAACCCAGTATACGTCATGGCTACTGAAGGTGAATCCAGAGGCTGCATAGGAGAGTGTCAGGGACCCCCCGGGCTGAACCAAACCTCCCCCAGACTCCACTAGCTGCACCTCACACTGGACACCTGCAAACAAAGAGACATCGTGGTCCGAAAGTGCCACACATATCCACTGCTCCTCTCGTTCGTGTCCACCCACACTCAATGTCTCTACTTCTCCGTGAATCATTTTTTAATAAAGCAAAAAGGAAAACCCAGCACAGCAAAAACTCCATGGTGAATCCTGTTTGTTCAGTCCTGATCACTGAATTAAGACACCTGGGAATCCCAAGGCTGGGACTTCTATCCCAGAGCTGCAGGGTCAGGGCTGGGCCGGTTTTCATCAGGAGAGGAAGGGCCCTATTTTCATGTCTCCTACTATAGCAAGCTCTGGGGCTGAATGCATAAGAAGAGGGCAGAGCCCAGAGCAGATGAGAGCATCCTGGGAATTTAGATGACAATGACTGAATTTGGGAAAACATGCTGTCTTATTGTAAAATTGTTCTGTGATAAACATTTGACAACATTCACATTTTAATTATGTTTACCCTTGTGTATATATTATGTTATTTAGGAGTCAGTATTTTCTTCATTTACAGATGTAAAAGTGAACCCACACATGGAGGGGCTGTGTATGTGTCTAGGGGCTCATATCTGCCATGAGTGAGTCCCAGTATCCAGGACTATGCCCCTCTCAGCTGGCCTCAATTGCTCTCTTAGCCAACACTGGACAGAGCAAAACGGGCCTAGCATGGTTTGCAGAATCCACTACCTGCCATGATAACCTGTGTGATTTTGTTGTATTTACCTATGAATTCAGAGACAACTAGGTGTCAGGCAGACAAATTTTAGTTGTATCTGATCTTTAACATATTTATTTGTTCCTTCCTATCATCCCTTATGTCTAAAATTTCAGTTGTTTACTTGTAATAAATTTTATGTTTCAACTGACAGATGATAAAATTCACATATTTAACCTGTACAATAATAAACTTCAAAACAAATCTCTATTTTCAAGAAGATGACAAGTCAACTCCCCCCAGCATTCCTCTTGCTCTTTTATATTTTTTTGTTTTTTTCTCCTTCCATTCTTCTACCATTTCTTTATAAAACTACTCATGTTTCCCTATTTCTTTAAACTCATTTTTATTTCGTTGAATTTATAAGAATGAAATAAGACAGTATATACTCTTTTATATTTGGCTTATTTTTGTCGACAGAGAATTATACCTTTTATGTTGCATTTTTTAATTTCTTACAAATATTGGGTAGCATTTTAGTAAACAAATGTAGCATAATTTGTTTTTCTATTAAGTTGCTAATTGATATTTTAATTTTTAAATCTGCTACTCAGTTCTTTAATGTACATAGATAATAAATTATACATAAATTATATAAATATTTTTTGCAGCAACAGTAACAAGAGAATGCGCTATTTGCCAAATTTTCTGTAATATTTCAGATAATTTAAGTTCTGAGATAAGAAAGAAACCTGTAAACCAAAGAACACCTGAGACTAATCCCAATAGATTTAGGACGTTCATTTTTCCAGGATTAAGGACATGGCAGTGACACAGCCTCAAAGAGTCCTGATGATGTGTGCCCAGGGTGTCAGGCACAGCTTGGTTTTATACAACTTAGGGACACTTGAGACATTAATCGATAAATGTAAGATGTGTATTGATTTGGTTCAGAAAGGCAGGACAACTTGAAGTGGGGAGAGAGCTTCCAGATCATAGGTAGGTATGAGACAAATGGTTACATTATTTTGAGTTTCTGATTAGCCTTTAACTGAATGCACAATTTACAGGAATAGTCATGTAGGCATTAGTCTGGCTTAGCGAAACAATAGAGCCAATGTAGCACTGAGACACTCATTTGACTTATGTGAGCAGAGAAATGACTCTGTCTGTCCTTGGTCCACAAGGATTTTCCTTGTGGTCAAATTTTGAAGGAGGTATGTAGCTTTTTAAAACCTTAGTATCTGTGATAAACATTTCATAGCTATCACATTTTTAGTAATTTTTACCTATGTGCATAAATTATGTCATTTAGGAGTCCGTGGTTTCTTCAGTTACAGTTGTGAACCCACACACATGGAGGGGCTATGTGTGTGTCTAAGGGCTCATATCTGGCATGAGTGAGTCCCAGTATCTGGGCCTATGCTCTTCACAGCTGGCCTCAGTTGCTCTTAATTAATTCTAGGACAGAGCTCAAGGAGCCAAGACTGGTTTGCAGAATCCAACTGGTAAGCAATCCAGCTGTTTCTGCACCTCAATTATGATTTCATGCTTCGAAATAAGGTCATACCTGAGGCTGGATAATTTATAAAGAAAAAAGTTTAAGTGACTCACAGTTCTGCATGACTGAGGAGACCACAAGAAACTTACAATCATGATGTGGAAGTGTGTCTTCACATGGCTACAGGAGAGAGAAGTGCCAAGTGAAGAGGGAAGCTCCTTATAAAAGTGTCAGATCTTGTGAGAGCTCACTCACGAATAGGAGAAAACAACCCCCATGATTCAATTATCTGCACCTTGTTCCACCCTTGACATGTGGGAATTACTTCAATACGAGGTGAGATTTAGGTGATGACACAGAGCCAAACCATATCGTAGATTTCTGGTCTGTTATCAGGGCACGAATTCCACTCATGAGGACGGATCCTGACCACCTTCCAAAGAAGACCTAGAGCCCCAACCTTCTATTCGGGTGAAGACTGCAACAAGTGCATCATGGTGGTCATCACTATTCAGTCTAGAGAAGCAGAGTTTATCAGTCAATGCCTTTTATTTACTGTATATCCTTAGAATAATTTGCATTGACTTCAAATGTTTGGGATTTTATAGTTTTTACCAGATGTGGTTGTTTCATTGGAAAGCTCGAGGCTCCTCACGCCATCACTCTGGTAATGAGATAACTCTGTTCATATTTCTATTTGAGGTTTCCTCATTAGCGCCCTAAGCATTTTGAACGTTGCTCTTTGAAAAATAATTTTTCATGATGGAATAAACTTGTCTGTCCTCATGAGTATTATCATTTGCTCAGAAATATACTTTTTCATATTTTAATATAGCAAATCCACCTCTCCTTTATTTGTCTTTATCATGGGGTCTTTCTGCATATTTTTAAATTTTTAAGTAAATATTTTTATATTTTAGGGTAGTTTTACATTTTAAGGAGAGCTCCCTGTGGCAAGGCGTGTCCTTATGTACAACTTGCCTGGTTTCCACACACTGATCTGCACTCTTATCAAGGCTGAGTCTCCCTCCTGTCATTTGTGAGGCTCACTCTCTGAACAGGGTTCTACAATCCACTGTCTAATCTGTGGACTCCACATTTCTTAGCCTGGTCTGGGATCTCAGCTCCTTTTCCTCAACTTCATATTTGCCAGGTCCCACTTCAGCACTGTGGTCTGGAAATCCCCTTAAAGAAGAATTTGAGGTGTGCATTCAACAGAAGTCTCCTTTCTTTAATTTCTCCTCTCACAGCAATTACTGTGTTGTTACCTGATGTCGCATATCATAAAATCGTGTTTAAGAAATTTCACTGAGTTCCATAATTATTTCTGGTTGAAAGACGCATCTCCCTGTTACACCTTGTTTGAAAGTGATCATGGCCCACAAAAATATTAGAATTAATTTTATCATGTCCACCAAGGTGTATATTGGTATATATACAAATAAACAACCCTAAATTTCAAGATATCATAAAATTTTGTTTTATATGTACATATAATATATATATATATACATACATATACATTATATATACAGTATATATATACACACATATACACTGTATATACATTATATATACATATACCATATATATGTTTATGTATAGTGTTTGCTATAATTAATATCATACCTAATTTAAGAATATTCAAAGTAATCATCTGTCACATAAGTAAAGCACAAGTTCTTGATGTCCTAGTAGAAAACCTTTCTATCTGTCTTTCTGTGGGTCCTTCCTATGGAAATACAGGAAGATATCTTAGGACATATCCCCAGGGGTGCCTTCAAAGACATTGCCCAGAACATGACCCAACAGGAATGTGAGGGGTTTCCATTCTGTCTCCTTCACAGGGAAATCTGAGATCTTCCTCCATCCCTCTGGTGGGCCACTTCACTATTCAGGACACTGAGGGAAGGGTGTGCAGGCCACAGGCATCAAAGACCACAGTGTGGATGAGAATTGAGGTGTTAACCTGCCCCAGTGAGAACAGGGATCCCCAGGGAGCAGAGCCCCAGCAGATGATATTAACCATGTGGACATCTGTGTGCCTGTCTTAGAGAAGAGTCCACACTGGGACAGCATGTGCCTGTCTGAGGGATTCTGCAGTCAGGCAAATCTCTGCTCTTTCCAAGGGACACAAATATAGTATGGATAAGGGCCAGATATGCACAAGACTTGTTGGGTATCCTGTGACTAAGAACACCTTAACTTACAGGGAATGTAGTCCAGCAGGTCTCAGTCTTATTTTCCTAGCCCTTATTCAAGATGAAGTTGTTCTTGTTCCAAAGCCTCTACAATATGAGGATGATCGTATTACTAAATATAAAATAAAATATCATGATGGCAACAGTCAATTTTACATGTCACCTTGACAAGACCATAGTCTTATCTCCTGAATCACACACTAACCCAGGTGTTGCTCCTATGGCATTATACAGGTGTTAGGAGAGCCTGCAAATTTTTTTCCTAAGTCACAAAGAGTGTTCTAGATAATCTAGGTGAAGCTGATTGAATCAGAGAATAACAGAAGATGATGGGATGCCATGGTGGATGGCAGATGCAGGTCTTCCCAGGAATTCCAGCCTGTCTTTCCTTATGGCCAGCACTATTGACCCTATTAGGCATGCCTAGCCAGACCCTGTAATTATTGTTACTCAGAGATCAGAGCACAATGGAGTGTCTGTCCTCAGCTTTCCTCAAAGTCACACTGTGTGACAGTGTGAGAAGCTCAAGATCAGCTCTACATTAATATCCCATTTAAGAAAACTAGTATTCCCTTCATGGCTAATGTCCCCTTCATTTCCCAAATACCTCCATACACAGAAGACAACAGGAGCATCCAGGAAATGGTGAGTGAGAAAGTCCCTCAGCCTATCCAGGTCCTGCAGACCTGAGCCCTGGGATTTTGAGTACAGAAAACACATCCTCCGTTTTCAGGGAAGAGAAAAAGAAAGGGGACTGTGAGAATTGAGTCTACAAGGAAGAAAAATGGATTAGCAGAAACAGGGTTAACTGAATCAGTCTGAGTCAGATGTACATAGTTTTACGAGACGAGGGGAGATAGCTGTGAAAGCCATCAGGTTTTAAGGACTCCGGCCATGGGCGA